GGCGTGGGGCCGACTGGGGTCCTGCCGGGGTGTCCTGAGCCTTGCACACCGTTCCCAGGGTCGCGGGGACCCCGGGCTGCCTGGAGAGGCTGCTTCTGGGAGTCCAGGCCTGCTGAAGTGGGGGCAAGGGCTCTGGACTGGACTCAGGGCCGGGCCTCCCTGCTCGGGGACTGTCCTGGGGAGGGCCCCTTTCCAGGGCAGCCCGGCTGCAGCCAGACCCCCTTTGGGCCCTACGTTTCCAAGGGAGGTGGCGGCCACCCCCCAGGACGGTTGTGCCTGACTTCATCCACAGATGGTCCCCACAAACTTTTTAAAACGCATGATTTCTCTCAGCGTCTGTTGGAAGAAACAAAACCAATAGATCAAGCTTGCGATTTCACAGATCTTAATGCTTGGGATGAGATCAGGTGAAAAAGGAGCCGTGAAATTTCAGAATTTGGTTGCGTCAGTGGTGGTGCGGAGTCTGGGGACGGTCAGGCCTGGACTGACTCCGGTTTGGGAAGCACCCCCTTTCCCACGACTCAGGAGCCTGGGCGGCCCGGGCCCCTGACCGGCTGGAGGAGGCAGGGAGGTGCTGGGCTGGGTGTGAGCTCCCCCGCCCCACCCCTGCCCCCTAGGCCCAGCAAGGATGCTCCCAGATTGGCCTCTTCCTGCAGGTTTTTCCCATCAGGTCTGCCGGGAGCCCTGGCAGGCAGGCCAGCAGGCTGGGTGGTGACTCACGGCTGGCCAGAGCCCATTTGCCCTGCACCCTGCCTCGGGGTGAAGTGAGAAATCTGACCGGGCTCCAGCACAGATGGGAAACCCCACCCCAGGGCCTGCAGCAGGACAGGTGTGGTTCCGTCCCACGCCCACACAGGCCCCAGGCCAGGGTGTCTGAGCCCGGCTTGGCAATGTCTGTCTGCACTGGTACAGCAGCTGCCTCTCCCCAGGCCTGGAACCCAGGATCCAGGCAGTCCTCCCAGCGCACAGCTCAGGGCCTCTGCCCTGGGCGGGAAGCTCCTGCTTGGGTGGCAGGCCTGAGGGACCGGGGTTCCCACCCGACTCAGCCTCCGCTGAGCTGTGAGGCCTCAAGCAAGTTGCTTCGGCTCTCCGTGTCTGTCCCTGGATGGGTCACCTGCTCAGCGAGAGTTTGCAGGTGACCTCTAAGGCTCCTGAGACCCAGAGGCTGGCCCCCTGACCCTTCCCCATGGTCGCTCTCACCTGGAGCCCAGGGGCAGGTGTTCCAGCCCCCGGGGCCGGATCAGTGTGGGCAGTCACCTCCTCCCTGGTGGAGCGGCCTCGAGAGCCCAGTGCAGTGCCAGGCCCGGCACCACTGAGACCCTTCTTCAATGCTTCCACCCTCCACTGGTCACGGGCACCACACTGGCCCTGGGGAGACACGGGGAGGCCCAGCGGCACAAGAACACCCCGCCTCTCTGGAGGGGCTGAGGCTTCACGAAAGAGACGCTATTAGAGAGCAAGGAACAAAGTCCTGGTAGAGCAAAGAGCAAAGGCTCCCAGGCAGGGCCGTGAAGACAGGGCAGGCGTGACTAAGAAATAGGACGGGGGGCCCCTGGCAGGGGGTTGGGGCAGGGTGGCCAGCACCTGCTAGTGCCAAACCCCCCGCCTGCCTCCCTCTCCGGCTGGGGGCCCCCGATACAATCCTTTAGGCTGAGGGTGACCTCATCAGGACAGAGGTGAGACCTGGATGGGGGGTGGACTTAGAGTCTCCCACATCCCCAGCCTGTTGCTGCCAGAAGCCTGCGAGGCCCACCTGGCAGGTGCAGGTGGGGACCCAAATTTATAGCAAGTTCCCTAGGTTCCAGGCCCACCCAGCACCTCCAGAGAATGTGGGTTCTCATCTTGAGCCCGCTGACCGCTGATCCAGACACACAGGTGCTGCGGTGCTTGTGGCCTGAGGGCACCAAGCGGAGCCTGGCACTGCGGGTGAGGGGTGCCCGGGAAAGGACGTCGAGGGAGGAGGGGACACGGTCCCCACCAGGGGTTAGGCTGGGGGGGTGGGCAGTGTGGCCAGCCACAGCCACGGCCACAGTGTGCCTGGCAGAATCGGGGCCTGGAGCTCGTCAGGGGCTGTGATGTGAGCTCTGGGGGCCAGGGACCCCCCTCCCCTGCCCAAGGAAGGGTACAGAGAAGGCATTCTGAGCTGTCCCCACAGCCCTGCCTGGAACAACTCGACCTCAGGCCGAGCAAGGGCTGCAGAGAGTGAAGGAGCCAGGCCCGGAGGCTGGACTCCAAGCCCCATCCCATCCCCTCTCTCGTCCCCTGCCCTGGCCCTCCCTAGGTCTCATCTATACACATGAAAGCAAATTAAAGGAGGGCCTGTGGCCTCCACGCAGCCTAGGGGAGACCCAGGGGGCCTCTGCAGGTTGACTAGGGTCTCAAAGAGGGAGAAGGGAGGCCCCCAGGCTCTAACAGGCAGAAGCGGTGAAGCGACCTGGCTTCACCGTCTGCCCTAGGAAAACACAGAAGGGCCGGGCTGCCCAGGGCCACAGCCAGCCGACTGCACCCCTCCCACGGGGACGGGACCCTGGTCCTCAGTGGCACTTGCCACCTGTGTCAGAGGGGCCTGCCCAGAGCCGCGGAGAGCAGTGTGTATGCATGCCTGGCAAGCCGCGTACCCCTGGAACTGGCTTCCTCTCCTGCAGTTTGCGCTTTGCCAGCATGAGATGTGTGTGCAGGTGGCAGGAACACACTCAGGCCAGCGCAGGGCCTACAGCACGCCCTCCCTGGGCAGGGCCCCCTCCAGCTCCTCCTGGAGATAAGGTGCCACGTGTGGTGCCGAGTCTGTGGACACCGACCTGTGGGAATGTCCCTGAGTCTGTGTCTGTGCAGCTGGAGGCCCGGAGCTGGACTTTGTCCACGTCACTCCCTTTAGGGCT